ATGTATATATTTTAATAATTTTATATAAATTAAAAAAATTTAAGCATATTTTCTTTATTTCTTATGTCCTTTTCAAACACGTTCAATTAATTTATATATAATATGTTTTCATGAAGAAAAGTTCTACGGCCGGTATAATTATCAACTTTATGAACTACCATAATTTTTTGAAAATAAAGTATTCCATTACTATAAGAAATAATAAATACAAATATATGCTTTTTGATTAGTTTCACAGGAGAATTTATTTTATATTTCAAGCCCTCGATGGTAGTATTTCGATTTCACCAGTATTTGGTATTATTCTATATTTTATATCTATTTTCAAGGCTTGATTTTTGATTTCATATTTACTTAAACATTTTTGTACTCTGAAAAAAAATGTGAACTTTATTTGCTGTAACATTTCTAATGGAAAATTTTAAGGCAATAACAATAAGTACTTCTGTCTCTGTCTCTAGCGGCCTGAGCTAAATGCATAGCAGACCTTTTTAGCGCAGGTACAGAACGAATAGGTTAACAAAGTCTGAAGCCTGCAAAGTGGGTGACAAAATCCTTTATGGCCGATAACCCAAGCAGCTGCGCGACAAATCAGCAAATGGGTTAATCCGCGCAACTTGCAGGTCATAATGCGTTGATATCTTGACTACCTGCCAAAAAGGGGCAACAGGAGCTGCCCCTTAAAAGGCAGCGCTGGCGAGGAGCGATCATCAGTTTGCCAAGAGCAAAGCAACAGAACGTTTCGATTCAAGCAACTTACAAAATAATTCATAACTCTACAATCATGAGCAACATCAGCAACGACAGCGGCTTGGATGACTCGGCCATTTGTGGCGGGGCTAGCAATGCAGGTGCTGCGGCAGCAACGCGTCTCTCCTGGTTTCTGGCCGAGGTGGACGAGGGCGCCATGGACAACGGTGAGCCGAATGGCAAGAAGCGCTACTGCGTGCTGCACAGCATGGAGCTGCTGGAGACAGACGTCTCCGATAAATATATGACGCGGTTCGTGGAGTTTCGGGTGAATGGCGTCAAGCTGGAGGCGAAACTCATTTTGGCCGCCGATGAGCGGAAACTGGTCGACGCCGCCCTCTTGGCCATGAGCAAGGAGCAGCAGGACGAGGAGGACGATGCACGCCAACTGCTGGTGCAATACAACGAGGAGGATGCAGCGGGCGAGCGACTGGTGCACAAGCTGTTATCGCCGAGCCGCGTTGCCTGGCTGAGCACCAAGCCCGAGCTGGGCGGCACGCCGCTGGTCAAACTGGGTCCGGGCTGCATTGGCCATGTGCTGTACGCCTACGAGAAGCGCAACTATATGGAGAAGGTGTTGCTGCACCTGAAGGCGCGCTGCTTCGATCACGCCTTCGATGAGCAACTGGACGCCGCCCAGGAGTCGATGGACGAGAACACTTGGCTCCTCGTGCAGTACAGCCCCGAGCCCGAAATGGTTGTCTACCAGGTAATCCCCTATAGCCGCACAGTGTGGCGCCAGGAGAATCACTTCAAGGACGTCATCGCCTACATCCAGTTGCCTAGCAGCGAGGTGGTGCTGCAAGCTGTCGTCATCAGCTACAGCCAGAATGAGAAGCAGATGAAGAACAAGTTCGAGCAGCTACGCCGCTTCGCCCTGGAGCTAGAGTTCCCGCTGCCCGACGAGCTTGACCGCCAGCTGCAACACGGCAGCGGCACGGCTGCTCTCTTTGCCCGGGCCAGCAACACGCTGTTCCAGCGTGCCGAGCAGCGAGACGCCAGCGGGGAGCACAAACAGCTGCGACGAAGCCTCGAACAGATGAGCGAAAAGGCGCAGAACGAGGCCGAGCTGATCATCGAAGCCTTCGACATGGTCGACAACATCAACCGCAACCTGAA